CATCCGCCTCGCTCCTCCCTCCCGCTTTTACTTCACTTTTATTTCGATGTTCTGCTGGGTTTGATGGGTGCAGTGGGAGAGGAGGCTCGGGGGGGGCGGGGACGACACGACACAGGGAAATCCCTGCTCTGGGTCTCCCCCGTGGGTCCGTCCTGGCGTGCGGCTGCTCCCGGGCCTCTCTCGGTAGGGCTGAAGGGCCTTAACGCGGTCGTGAGCGCAGCCTCTTCTCCCTCGGGTGGGGGGAAAAGGCAGCCGGAGTTGATGGCTGTACGCAGAAAAACGTGGGTTTGATGAGCTTTACCCCTGTGGCGTTTGGCCGTACCCGTGCAGCCAGGAGAAGGAGCTGAAGGCTTCAGCCAGCACTGGGAGCATCTTTCCGGCCGCGAGATAAAATTGTCTTCCGGGTTATGCCTGTATAGAGATTTTATTCTTGTCACTTGGGTCAGAATTTGCCCCGATAAGTCTTAAAGAAGTTTTATACGAGATTAGAAGTCGAGATATCCCTTCCAGAATTTTTTCACCCTTTGGAAAAGCAGATTTAACGTGCAGTTTTCTGGAAGAACTGTAAACACAAAATATTCAGGTGCACTGTCCATGGGAAGCTTCTTTTTAAAGTATTTAATGCAGCTAGCAGTATGTCTATGTTGAAAATTCATTTCCAGCCTGAGGACTCCCTTCACCCTCAAACTTCTACTGAATCACTGTTTGGTCTTTGTGAATGTGGACATCTGGTCTTTAGAATGTGGTATTTTTGGCATTTATCCAAGTTACTAATGTTGTTGTTGTGAGTTTCCTAGACAAGTGACAAGACTTCTAAGATACGTTTAATTACCTTCATGTTCTGAAGTGAAGAAAGTACTTGGGCTGCCATAAATCAAATAAACACTTGATTTTAATTTTTTTTTTGGCCTCATTAAAACCAGTGTAAAAGCTATGCCAAGACTCGTGTATAGGATTTCCTTGGGTCAGGTACATTGGCTATGTTTGAAATGGGAAAACACCTGTAGGTTTTCTTACTGTCACTGGGTGTCATTGCACGTTCACAGTGTATCTAAACTTTGATCTTGGTAAATGTCTCCAGGAGGATATATATTGATTTATCATAAATATATTTGTATTTATGCTCAAACTGTTTCTGTGGTTTACTTTTTTTCTTTTAAAGACTACTTACTGCAGAAGAGAATTATTTTACATTCAAGCTTGTAGTTACTTATATTTTTCTTCTACTTCTGCCTCAAATAATTTTTGTTCTTTTTCTTCTTGCAGCAATCGGAAGACTTTGTGAAAAGTGTAAGTATAGCTTCTACATATAGCTGCTTGAGAGCATCATGTTGTGGTTAGAGCACCCAGTTTGGATTTGGGGATTGGATTCTGGTTTTGCTTTAACCATGAACTTGATGTCACTCTTTGAGGTGGCAACAGTTACTTGTGTATTGCAAGTGTAAATCAATGAATACTTAGAAAGTTACATGCTCAAATAGAGTGTCACACAAATGTAAGCTGTTCTAGAGTATACACTGACAGCATTTTCAGTAGCTGAGGATAGAGTGACTTCTTGATCGGTACCTTGTAATCTGTTATTCAAAGTGATTAGCCTGATCATTTCAGACGAGGGAAAAAAAAAATGCACTTTTGAAATCTTGACTTCGCACCTTGAGAACGGCTCCTCCCTTCAGCATCTAGGGGGATAAGAAATGAGCAGGGGGGAACATCTAGAGTTAGAACATAAAAACCCCCACAGAATCAAATGCCAGTGCTCAACTGCAGAAGGGAAGAAAAAGTAGGATCAGTCATTAGGCCCTTGTAGGGGAACAGAACAAATAAGATGACTAGTTGGTGACTCAAAAATCGTATGAAAATAAGCGAGGTGGGGAGAAGAACAGTCTGAAGGAACAAGATTGTTTTCAAGAGTGCTCGGCAGTGAAACTGATTCCCACTGGTAGTAGTTGGAGGTTGCTGTGCTGGAGATTGAAGAGCAGGTTAGCTGAGCTGTTTGTGGGAGTCAGGATTAGATGCCTTGGGAACTGGTAATAGGATATGAAGCCTTTCATCCCTTGGTCAGTGTTTTGGATAAAGTCCAGCAGAGACTGTCGATGGCATCTGATGGCTGCTTGCCTGTATGATATGAGTACTTGAATTTCACAGTTCCTTGTGAGAAAGCAAGAGCGACTTTTGTGAAATGGCTGTTTATGCCAGTTTGCCCTTCCTTTGCCCTTCTTACAGATGAAGGATTAAAGGGACCAGGAGTACAATCTCTTATCTCATCTTTTTGAGGATAGTAACTTCAGACTTTTGTTGATGTGACACTGTGGGAGAAGCTTACACTGCTGCTCCTGGGTAGGCAAGGACACTAGTCCTGTCAGTCCAGCATTTTTTTCACAAGTGAAAAATTCAGGGAAAGTTCTAAAGTAAAAGTAATGGCATGATCTAAGCAGGTGTTGGCTAATCACAGAAGAAGCAACTTTGGGGTTCTTCTCTGGTTGTGAATGCATGAATAAATAAAAAAACTCAAATACTGCAGGCTACTGGCCCTTGTTCCCCTCAAGTCTGTGTGCAAATACAAAGTCGTGCCCTGTGCCTGCAAGATAAATTTCTGCCGTTCAGTTGTGTTGTCCTCGAGTGTGCAAGCAAGATGTTTCACGAGGAAGCTCCTCCTCTTGGATGTGTGGGTGCAGAAAAGGACGTTCTGTAACCAAAGGCTATGCTATACTTGCAGGTGATGGCAAATGCGTGATCTGTGACTCCTATGTGCGGCCCTGCACTCTCGTACGCATATGTGACGAGTGTAACTACGGCTCGTACCAAGGGCGCTGCGTGATCTGCGGGGGTCCAGGAGTGTCTGATGCCTACTACTGCAAGGAGTGCACCATCCAGGAAAAAGATGTATGTTGTCATCCAGTCTCCCGTTGAATTGGTTATGTCTTCATTTAGTAGCCACGCTTGCCTTTAAGGGGCTTTGAGCTAGTGAAATTAATGTTGGGACATGGGACGCTTGGGTTCCACTATCAATATTGGCACTGGTTTTCATTACCTCCTGCCTTTCTTCCCCTGTGGGTAGTTCCCTGTGTTTGCAAAGCATTTTGAGGTATTGTAACTTTCTTCATCCCAAAGGATCTTTGACTGCTCTGCACCGCACGCTCACGGTACGCTTCCTCCACATGCTGCAAGTTACCATTTAAGTTGCTGTCTTCCCAGATCTCTCAGCCTAGGTTTTATCAGGGTCACAGATATTCCAGACACTGCAAAGGCAGTGGTGGGAGCAGCTCAGGCACGTACAGTACCGTAAGGCCTATGGAATCCCCACCTGTGTTTTCCTTTGGATTACATGGACCTGATGATCTTAAAGGTCTTTTCCAATTTAAACAATTCTATGATTCTATACAAAAGTATAAAGTTAGATGTTAATCTGCACTACTAATTGTGTTCTACAAGTCTAAAGTTTCTTGCACAATTGCAGTGGGATATGATTCATTGCTTTTTTTCATTCTTTTCTGGAATGGCCTGTATTGTGCACATTGCTTTTTCTACCAACACTTCTTGGTGTAACAATCCCATATTTCTATATTTGGTGCTATAATCTTTTTATAATCTTCTTGTGCTGAAAGATAGCCACGGCGCGAAATGAGGCAGCTGTTAACCCTCTGTAAGGTATTTGTTAATATCCATCACAACGAGTGATCTTGCACTTGAAGAACTGCAAATGAAGTGGTAAAAAGACCTTAGGGAGAAGCAAGAACATGATGCTTACGGTTGCAATATCCCCAGAATACAGGCCTGATAGCTGTGAGAGCGTCTCTTAAAGGTTGTTTGGGTTTTGATGCTTTGCAAATACCATCTCTGGCACACCCTGATGACAGTGGAGAACATGCTGAGAGAATGGTTTGGATTGATTTGGAGGAATATGCTCAGCTGAGCGAGTTGCTGGTTTAATTCTCTGCAGTGCCTACATTTTCTCTAGAGGCCTGCAGCTAAATTCAGAACAGGGGGAGGTCCTCATCTGAATTTAGCTGTTAGATCTGACAGGACCATAATCTTTCTTAGCATCTGAATATGCATATCAGTGCTGTGATGGTGGTGCTGCCTCCCCCTTTAGAAATGCTCTGAGAAGCAGTAGTTTTGTTCGTTTGCTTTTGGAACCAAGACACCCGGCTTGATAAGTCATGAGTAAAATAGGCTTGGTTTTATTTTTACAAATTGGTATTGATTCCCAACAGGTATTTTTCATAACTTAAGCTCACCTGTAGCTTTCAAGTGTGAAATAGTCAGCTGCTCTGCAAGGGAGGATTGTAGAAAACGTAGAGCTGGAGGAGTAGGAGAATGACAGGTCAGAACTGAGGTATTTTGACAGTTGGGTGAAGGGTGTTGTAGGTGAAGACAGTTGTTCTGTACCAGCAAACTCAAATGTTGGGGATTATTGCAGATGTGAAACAGATTTGATGTGATTGACTTGCAGGATTGTAAAGTGCTGGCACAGGTGTAGAGTGCCTGGAATGAGAAAGGTTAAGTGTGCTGCCTGTCACGATTATGGTAGCTGGTGTGAAGGTAAGCAGATGGACAGAGCTCTGTACCTGAAGCTCTAACGCTTCAAGGTTTCAGTCACAGCATTTCCATCAGCCTCAGAGAAAGACTTGAAAAGACTGAAGCAAGAAAGCAAATACCAAAATGGAGGGAGGAGGTGGAATGCTGTTGGGCACGAGGGAAAGGGCCTGGTTACTCTTGGTTCATTTGTTCTGAGGGAGGGAGGAATGAGGTATTGTTTCACCTCACTTCGATCTGTGGGTAAGGGCCAAAATCCCACCTTGTCACCCAGGACAGCTCTGAGTTGCAAAAAAGCCATCTTTTCTTGGGGACAGGAGATGCTTATGTGTTGCCTCCTTAGGAGGAGGTGGAAGAATGAACAGAGCCCTGCAATAATGCTGTCAAGATTGTCACAGACTCCCTGGATCGTGGGAAGCAGGACTTGGAAGAGTCCTGCCATTGAGGTTCAAAATCAAATAAGCAGACAGTATCTAGAAATAAGTTGTGGCAGTTCTATGGAGGAGGAATGGTTTCTTTTACCCCTCCCCCCCTTCCTGTTATTTCTACCATGCAGACCCTCCCCACTGGGTTGCATCTCCTGCAGAGGAGCAGATATCAGTGGGGCAGCTTGGGTGCAGTTTCTACGGCGGCTGATGTCTGCCCAGAGGCTTTCTAAATCTAAACCGCTCGGGCTTACACAGCAGCCCAGGACACACGTTCTGCCTGCTGGGCCCCTCACAGCTGCTCTTGCCAGCCACAACGTTTTGCCCTCGAGTTATGCAGATGCTGGGCTCGGGTCACCCACGGACAAACGTTCCCTGGTACACCAAGAGATGCATCTCTGATTTTTCTTTGCAACCGCACCTCTGAGGGTGGGTCTCTCCCACTCCTCTTCTTGCTTTTCTCGCAGCCTTTTTCTCACTGTCTCCTGGAATTCAGGTACAAGAACTTACCCGTGTAGCTGCTGTGAATAGCTGTCTTCTCCCAAGATGACCATACAGCCTCTGCAGTAATCAATTCAGGATGCAGGAAAGCTGAAACTCAGTTCTGCTGTCATAGCTGAGAGGGGTCCCTAAACACGAGACTGGCTTGGTGACATCTAAAGTAATGAGATTCTTTTTGGCTAAGAAGGGGCAAGCTTATTCCTCTGGGCCCTATAAATCCCATGTATCCTAATTTAGAAAGAATCCAGTCTTGAGACGCTGAGCATCTTTTTCATTAAACTGCTGATGTTGTACGAGCTGTTCTACATCTTCACCCTGAGGAAGAGAATGTCCTGGAGTAATGTTAAAATGGCATCCATCCTCTTCCTCTCTTCCACTGCCTTGCTGGTAGTAACCAGAACTGGAGGGCAGTTTGTCTGCACAGGTGTTCGAAATGTGTGTTGAGGACAGGCTGAGGAGCGTGGGAACTGAGAACCTACTAGAACTATGTAAGTGGTGATGATGATGATGTTCAGTTTGCCCATGTCCTAACTTGGACCCTCTTTTCCTCTTACAGAGAGATGGTTGCCCTAAGATCGTCAACCTGGGCAGTTCCAAGACAGATCTCTTCTATGAAAGGAAAAAATATGGCTTCAAGAAGAGGTGATCCTATCCATGTGTGGCTACACCTCCTGTCGGGTTGGCAAGAGGGTCTTGGAACATCTCTGGACTTTACTACAACCGGTTGATTATTTTTTTTTCCTAAAGCAGTACAAATTCAGTAGTATACTTGGGGTTGGAGAAGTAACGGACTGAGTGGGGACTGAAACCTGATCAGAACTGTCTATCAGAAAGGGCAAATGTGGAGTGCTGTCTCTTGCCTTTTCAGAAGCTCTGCTAGTAGCTACCGCAGCTCGCTATAAAAATCCTGGTGGGCAAGTATTTACATGTGGAGGAGACCAATTCAGTAAAAAGCAAGTGCCGTTTCTGGTGTGGGGAAACACCTTGGGGTTGTTCTTACCAGGCCTCCTCTCAATTGTTTGAAATCGCCCCGGTATTGAAGAACAGAGCGCCAATCCCGTGTGTCCGCTGCCCCCCTCCCTTCCTCCAGTATATTTCCATGCCGCCTGTGTTGTAAGGAACCTGCTTGTGGCTGGTGCCTTCCTAGGGAGAGCACAGCTGTTCCGTGTTTTCTTTGACAGATTAATCCAAGGCCCTTTCTTGTAACCCTTTCTGTAGGATGCATACCAATAAAGCTTCTTCTTGGGTTTTTTTTTTTGTATAACAAGGATTTCTCTCCGGTTCATTCTGTGCTTAGCCTCTCTGGAGCTTTCTGGGGACACGCGGGATTAGCCCAGCTAGAACTGCACAATGGGTTATCTGGTTTCTGACAGTGTCTGCTTATGGCCATGTGACCTTGCTGCAAGGAGCTTGAGGGAACGGCCATTGCTTTTGTCCGCCTGTGATCCCAGCCACTGATCATTTTGTCCCGTAGCGTGAGGATCGCTGAGCTTGTAACCCTTATCCTAGCTAATACGGCTGTGGATGTTGTTTCACCATGCAAACATCCAATCCCTTTCTAAAACCTACTAAGCTATTTGACTCGCTATCCTGTTCTTGTGAATAAGTTAAAGCCTTCCCTGCTGTAACTGGAAACCAACTATTGTGTTCTCGGCTCGGAGCCGTGGGCATGCTGAAAACCAGAGGCTGCTTGTTTGTCAAATACCAGTCCGGGCTAAAAGCAGTCTGTTGGCTCAGCAGAGATCTGGGAACGGGCGCCTTTATGCAGAGGGGGAACGGAGTTCCCTACTGCTGCCTGCACTCCTCGGGTGGTTAAACTAGGGGATCCTAGCTCAGCGTGCCCTGCGGTCCTTAAACGTCTTCATAGTCTGAGCAGAGCGTGTGCTACAGTAACGGGATTATCTTTGCGCAGTCTTGGGGTGCGGGGCCTGTTTTGTGCCCCTTCCAGGATTTCAGTTGTTTCCCTGAGGACGGTGCCGATTCCTTTAACTCCCCTCTGGCTTAAATGCCTCTTCTACCAGCTCCAACCATTTAGGTGTTTAGGATAAGAGTGAGACAAGCTGTGATCATCCTTGCCTTAAAAGTCATTTCTTCCTGCTGCAGCTGGCTCTAGCTGTGACTGGTCCTACAGCCATCTCAGCTGCTCCTCCCTCTCCTCCCCCCAGCTATTAATTCTGTCAGGTTTCTCTTCCACGCTTTTTGCAGGCCTAAGAGTATCTGTATGTCTTCTTCCCTTGTACCTTGGTTGCCTTACACAGCCTCTGGTTAATTTTTACTAACACAGATGCCATTTGCCAAGATGTTCAGAGCAAACTGGGTTTCTGGTTCCAGCAAACCCACTCTCCAAGCAATTCTACCTGAATAAGCAGCTGCCTCTTGTCCCTGGCTGGGAAGCTCAAGTCAGAGCCATTATCAGCCATGTTAAATTCTGTAGTTCTTGAAAAGCAGAGCATGACATGCAGATTTTTTTGTACCTGGAACTTTATCACTCCAACCAGAATTTATCACTTGCTCTCAGTCAGGCCACCCAAATTATCGCACTAGGAATGCAGAAGGTTTGTACATATTTTTTTCTTTCCTGGAAGTTTCTAAGATAATGAAAGTTGTTCGGTGAAGCTAGAGGGAAACGAAGTTTGAATTATTTCTTTTGTCTCGGAGTTATTTCCCATGGTGCAGGGACCCCTAGAATATCTAATTTTAGAGCAGCCCTTGTTTCCTGATCATTTAGCAGGCTCAGCCAGGCAGGGGTTGCTATAGAGATACGAGTGTCCCCATCCCTTCCCCCACCCCCAAAAAACGGCTGAGCGGACTTACTTTCTTGGCGCTCCCGGTGCCCTCACTCTGACTGCCGGGTATATCGGGCTGCGTTCTGGCAGCGATGAGAGTTAAGCTGCCATTTCTAGTTGTTCTGAGTCACTGGGCAGGTGGAGAGAGGGAGAGACAGGCTTTTTCCCCTTTGCCTTGTTTGCTCAGACAGCTCTGGGGAAAATGCCAAATGCTGCTGGTGCTCAGCTCAGCTCAGCCCTGCTGCCTTTCTGGTACTTTCAGAGCACGGACGGGACATTGCCCCGAAGCTGCTAATTCCGACAAGGGTAATGGATACAGTTGGGTAGCCCGGAAAAACTCAGCCTGGCTGACGTGGTGATGATTTCTGTTCACCAGCAAACGAAACCCAGGCAGGGCCCCAAGAAAAGTACAATATTTCTTACCTAAATGGATTTTAAAGTACTCCTCTGGTAGAAAGAGATTTCCTGGCAGTACTGGAGAGCAGAGCACATGCTGAAAGGGCGAGCTTCTCTCCGGGGGAGGGGGGTATGAGACAAGGTGTGTCCTGCTACTGTGTGCCTGCCAAGCTCTGCAAGGGCTTCATCAGACCGTGGAGCCTCAAGCAGCCCGATTCAGGGGCTCCCTGGCCGCCAGCTGTGAAGCACTTGCATGGCAACCGCAAGGAAGGGCGGGCGGGAGGGCGGTGGAGCTGAGCCCCCCGTGGTGCTGCCTGCAAGTCCTCCTTGCATGGAGCTAAATGTGTCTTCCCGATGTTACTTTTCTGGGTAGAGCTATCGCTTTTTTTTTTTTTTTCCTTTTTTTTTAATCAAAAAGGATGTTATGTAAAAAGGAAAAAAAAAATCCCTTTATTTCAAATATTTACATTCAGAGCGGAGAGCATGGGACCTCTTGGCCTATTAAGCAGTTGGCCTCTGTTGCCAGTACTAACGAGGCACTGCTGCGTTCCGAAACGTAGATGTTCCCTGTTACACGCCTCTTCACACCAACTACCCGCCACAGCCACAACCGAGCTCAGCAAATAGCTCCGTAACACACCTCCGGTCCTTCCAATCCTCTAGACCTCGTCTTGACAAAGCCCTTGAGCACGAAGCATTTACCTTTCTTTCAAAAAAATCCAAAGGTAGGCAAAGGCCTCGAGTCTGCCCGGGAGCTTCCCCTGCGGGAGTCACATAGACAAAATTCTGCTTCTGAAACCTCCTCTGCGCAGAGGCTGTTATTTTCTCATTACGGGGATCGGCTGGAGATGTTATTTGCCTGTTTCAATAGCAGGAAAGAATTTTTCATTTCCTTGAGGTTGTCGTGTGACTTGGAACGTAAAGAGGATTCAGGGTATGGCGGTGTTAATTACGCCCAATTATAATCTGACTGCCCTTCCCTGGCATTAAATAACCCAGCAAAACGAGCTCTGTCCCGGCGGCCTGGCCGTTCCTTCCCTCCCCATGCACACGTGATTCGGTAGCTTTGCTTTGACGTCATAGCCAAATGGCCAAGAATGCGTGAGCGGATACTGTGACAGAATTCCTCTGCCTGCCTGTGTACCAGGGCGACGCGATCATTAAAGGAGCACGGTCAAGGCGCAAGTATTTTAAAGAGCCCTAATGTGTAACACCCTCCTAGTAACGCCTTCTGAAAACAACAACAGAATTTTAGAAATGTAATTGCCTTTTTTTTTTTTCTTAATGATGCTAAAAATAGCGCAGTCATTTTAATTTCCTCATCTCTGGCTGACAGCACGATTTTGTTTCCAGCAAAGCAAGGGAGCGTTAGGGAAAAAAAATGTGTGCTTTTGTAACTGAATTCCCTTTAAACTAGGAGTGATGAAAATAAGGCTGCTCATAATAGCTCTCATCAATCTTCTCTTCCTCCCCCTTCCCCTGCAAAAAAAAAAAACTTCAAAAGTTGCTGGATTTTTTTCTTTAATCAGTGGGGAAATGAGCAAGGATGGCTGCTGTAGCGCCGTGGCCAGGAAGGGGAGCATTACGGATCTCTGAATGTGTGGTGCTGGCTGGCTTTGAAAGAAGTCCTCTGCAGTGGCAAAGGCAGTTCCTGAGGTAAAGAGTTCCTGAGTGCAGGAGGACAAACCAAACCCAGAAAGACGCTGAGGATCTTTGTGGAAATGGGGCGAGGGAGGAACTTCGTATTTTTGTACTTGGGAGATGGTTGCTACGGTGAATTATTTAACCGGAGTGACACGGAGCAGCTCAGGAAGCGTCTGTGGGTTTTGTCCCTTTTGAAAATGGGTGATAAATTAAACATTCGAAGGTAACTCTATTATTGAGAAGATTCCAAGATGGAATGTGACTCCACAAGGGGATTTTTCTCAGGAATTCTTCAGAACCAAGACAAACAGGACATTTCACGGGCCAGGCGAGCTGCCCCCGCTGCAACAGGGGCTGCAGTAGCGCTTGGGTCACCGAGTCCGCTTCTCCCTCCCTGGTCTGCCTGTGTCAGCCCTGAGGAAGATGCCTGACCCGTGGCTGGGAGAGCCTGGAAACGCCGTTCTTGTCCCTGCTGCTTGTTTGGAGCTTTGCTCTGCTCAAAATCTGCCCCACGTGTGGACAGCCGGAGCCCTTTGCAAGTGGCCTCTGCCTGAGGTGGCAGCCTTGGACCTGCTGGTGCCTGTAGGGATTTTCTTCATTTTCCTCAGAACTAGTAGTAGGTCTGGTTTAAAACACAGAGCGCGGAGCCGCGTGTGCCGGCAGCTGGCACCCTTGGAAGACGTACAGCGTCTTCAAAGGCCCGGACGGAGCCCTCGAAGGCCCCCACCGCGGGACGGAGGCGACCAATGCGGGGCAGGCCGCAGCCGCCCTGGCGACTACAGCTC